CCTGCCTCGGACTCTTCTTCTTGATTCAACAATTGAGACCCTCTGCCACTGGGCTTTTAAGTTCTACCCAACCCGCAAACTTGGTGAGGGGTGCATTTCTAACAGAATTTTCTTACTGTTTTCTCACATGGCTTAGGCTCGACTCGAACAAGCCCATCCTATTGATCGCAAAGATTTGTCCATATCGAGAGCAGGTGTGGACCATCTGCTACTGTGCCTTCCTACTTAACCTGTGAATTTGGTTCAGATAGCATTTTTGCTTGGGCAAACTGCATGAAGAAAAAGACCAGGAGGGATATTTTCCATGGCCCAGGCTCGATTCGAGTCCCTAATACCTGCCAACTTGGTGAGGATGGCATTTTTACTGGCAAATTTCTCACCTTGTAAAGAAACGAAAAAAGATCACTGCAAACACCAATTATGGCCCATGCTCGATTCGAATGAACGACTCTTGCAGAAGTGATGCTATTACAGGCGACATGGAGGGTATAATACAAGCGGGACGAGCCTTACACTTCTTGGCGCAGTTTACTTAGATGAGTTGGTGAGACATGGGGTAAGCATGGCTCGAGCTAATCACAGTGGTTGTAGTGGTTCAAGATAAAAGTAGCTATTGGCATAGTACAGAATACAGTGACTTAAATACTACTGAGATACGGGTGAGTCATATGGAGTCGGGACTGAGTCATTAAATAGAACATGCTAGATAAATCTACATACTGTCAGATTGTGCTCCGGGCTGTGCTAGTTAGCCAAGAACACTCGGCCGTCCACCTATATAGAATCCTTTTCGGGAGACGAGCGCGGTGATCCTGGGGTTGCCACCGTGTGATACGTATGGTCCGCACATGCGTTCGCTGCACGGCCGTCTCATCAGCGCACAAATTCACGAAGAAAGCAAGGGAGCTTACCGTCCGGCCCCCGCCGCTTCACCAGACCCGCCGCGAACCCGAGGAACAGCGCCCAACCCGAGGAGAACATGCTGAGCGTGGCGACGAGGACTGCGATGAATGCCGAGCCGGGGCTCTTCGCGCGCTGGAAGCGGCACAGGTACACGCCGTCCACAACCGCGGGCCCCGGCAGCGTCAGCGGGAGCAGGCCCGTCAGATTGTACTCCGCAATGACGGCGGGCGACTGATTTGCCGCGTAAGACGGGTCGCTCACGAGCATCGCATACAGAAACGAGTCGCTCGGGAGCTGGGCCAGCGTCTGTGGGAAGGACGACTCGATCGCCGCTGGGATGAGGGACGTGTTGAGGAGGAAGTTGTTCGGCGCGCGGTTGCCGAGGTCGAGGCGGACGGTCGCGTACGCGCTCTGCACGAGGTTCGCGATGATGCCCGCCGTGTTGTTATCCACGAGCGGCTGGTTGAAGGCGCTGATGGGGTCGCCGGCGAAGTAAGAGGCTATCCCTGGTTTTGGCGCTCCGGGGTTGAACTCGAACATGCTGGTGATGTTCACCGGAGGAATTTGGAGGGCACAGGGCGCGTCCGGGCCGAAGGAAGCGGGGCACCACGGGTAGTCCGCTTGGAAGGAGATGACGGTCGGGAATGAACCGTTGGTGAGTGTGCCTAGGTCGAGGACACGCACCGCGAAGTCGCTGGCGCCGCCAGCCGTGACGGCGTCCAGTACCTTGCCCCGCGCGTCGACTGTCGCGTTGAATTTGCCGCGATTTTTCAGCGCTTTTTGCACGCCAAGCAAGCTCCCGTACTTCCCGGCCAGCGTGGATTGCGGCCAGTCCGTCCGCAGGGTGACCTCGTAATTGTCTCCCTGAGCGATTTGGGCGTCGTCCGCGCGGCACGAGACAATCACGGTAGAGTCGATGACGAAGGTATTGGCATCGCCATTGACGTAGAGCGAGGTAATGTCGCAATTGTCGAGCGTCCAGCCCTTATACGCAAGGCCGGAGTCCCCAGCGTTGGCCGTGTCGATCGATGCTATCGTGTATTGAAAGAGCGTGTAATTCGTCGTGACCGTGTCGCCCAAACTCAGCAGGCGCGGATCGCAGAGCGTGCCAGCCTTGCGGGTCTGCATTGGCAGGAACTTATTGAACCAGTGCGACTGCGTTATGTTGAAGTCCGAGTCGAACCCGGTGATGGTCTCGTACCCCGCCAGGGCCGCTGCAAATAAGTCAGACCGCCATTTTTTTGCGACAGAAAGGTAGCGCACCGTTGATGGTGGCCAGGAACACGAGGACGATGAAGGCTCCAGCGAACACAACAGGCGCGAATAACCTTCCCGGGAAGACGCGCGTAAGGGGGTATTCGAGGGAGGGCATCGGTGGGGGCATGGTGAAGCGAGGGAGGAAAGGGCAGGCGGAAGGCGCCGCTCACGTACCGATTTCAAATCATTTCCTGGATCATGATGGGCGTCCAAGGAGCTGATACGCGGTCGGTCAATTCGGCTGGACAACGTCGGGCCAGTCATTGCTAGTCAGGGGCGGGGAGGTGGGACAGGCGGCGCAGGGAGCCATAGCAAACCCTCGAGTTCTCCTCTGAAAATGCTGGAAAAATACTGCAGGACTTCAGAGTTGCTAGAGCAATGCTTGAGTGTATGGAAGTGTATGGATCAGCTTGGGATCAGCGCGCCCAATGTGCGATCCGCGCTCGCTTAGCTATCTCAACATCCAATTCGTGCATATGCGATCCGCCCTCGCTTAGCAAGCAATAAATTGATAGGCACCTGAAACTGAAACGCACTGCAACCATATACATAACGCTACTGTTACACAGGAAAAAGATGTACATATACGGTGATTCGATATTTGAGCCATAGTGAGGTTGTAGAATCCAGTGAGCGAAGCGGGTAGAACATATATCACCTGAGAGGGCTGGATATATTCTGGACTCGAGTCTACGAACAATTAGTTCCCAAGTGAGAAAACAGCACTCTTAAACAGGAAGACAAGAGAGAGAGACCTGTGAGGCGCGTTGTGATGAACCGACCCCGAGCCGAATGTGACCTTCTCCCTGCAACTTCGCGAGCACGGAAAATCGAAGAGACGTAAGACGCGGTCCCATCGCCATCGCTATTCGTCCATCGCAAGTGAAATTGAACCCCAGGCTTGTATGGATATCAGGATCCTACTGGTGAAAGGGATTCAGGAAGGAGAAGCGAAGGAAATTCGTAAGCCTAACTATTGAGTCCAGTGCTTCACCGACTACGACGGCAGTCACCCGCCATGCCTTCTCGACCGAATTAGCATGCGTAGGTGGAAAGAAAAATGCAGTTACGTCCACGTTCATGGCGTCGAACGGGCGTCCTGCTGAAGTGGATAGCGAATATGCACAGCATGCAGGTGCGGTCCCACCGCTCTTAAGCAGTACTGAAGAACAGGTCCACGCCAAATACGCGTCGAGGGGAGGGGATGTCGGAGGTGCGTCTGCGTGAACATTCAGCGCGTGGTCAGAGTCAGAATTGCCTGGGATACTCCGAATTAAGAAAGGGCATAGACGGGAGGATGCATGTGTGGATTGTTCGGCGCGGAAAACAAATCAAAGCCGAGAAAATTTGAGCGAACGAGAATGGCTCTGGAAGGCGCGGAACTCCCGTCGATGGATTCGACACAACAGGCTGCGAGGGAGCGAGCGGGTGTACCACAATCAGCGCGAAAGCCTCTGGTGAATCCGCTTATATGCAGGTCAAGATGCGCGGGATATACGAAAGGCAGCCAAAAGTGCAAGGCGTTCATTATTCCGTGAACTGGAACCCAGAGTGTACGCAGCGTTATGTATCAAACATCCTCGATAGAAGCCGGCTGGGCGCGACAAGAAGGTGGATGCACATTGAGGATACGGACAGCTAGTCGGTCCAATGCACCAGATGGGGAGCGGTATGCGAAATAATATGGGTAAGGCTGCGGGACAACACCCACAAAGGGAGAGCGGATTCCGAACTGCGGAGAAGGAAATTCGCGGCACAGGTAACGACAACGAGTCGTCGCGCGGAGTGCCTACGAATGGCGTCCGTGCAGTATGTTGCCGATCGAGCGAGCTGGATTGAGCCAAGGAACTTCCACCAGGTTTGGAACCCGCAGGAGACAAGGCTGCCGCAATTGCGTGGAGGGAGAGGAAGTGTGTCAGACGGATTCACGACTCCATTAGCAGCGAGATTTCGATAGGTTGTGCGCGCTTGACTGAGTGTTCGGAGCGCTGCGGCGCCAGGTGTCAGATATCGCAAACTGCGTCACTGCGAGAGTTGCTGCGCGGGGCTTCCTCGAGTCGGCTTTAGTAGAGTGCGGCTACACCACAAACCAGGGTTTCGGTGTGAAGTGAGGTTGTCGAGCTCCCGCTGTCGACGAAAGAAATCGGTTCATCGGGGGAAGACAAGCCGTGTGCCGCACTTCGGCACCAGCATGTGATGGCAGTGATGGGGCCACGACAAAGCCAAATCTCGGGTTCTCCCGGACCAACTTCGCGCGGTGTGCCAGTGGAGCGTTCGCTTCACCAGTTTTTGCGGTCCTGCGGTCGTTCCACTGATTCTCCATGTTGAGCACCACGTTGAAATCCGCACAACAATTTAACGAAGTTTGAGCGCGCCCGGGCCTCAGTGAGGAGTTGCAACTGAAACCTATTAGTCAACTCTCCCCATATTCCTCTCAGCTCTCGCGTGTATCACCACGCTCTCCCCCAATCTTTGAATCACCCGCTGCTTACCAATGCACACTATCTTCCGGGGTGGGAAGTCGGGCGTAAGAAGCGATTGGAAATGGCACGGAAACGATCCGCTACTGTGCCTAACAAATGCCCCAGCGAACCCGGCAAGACACCATTCAAGTTAAATTTCTCACCGCGCGCAAAACACAGCTCCAGCACATTGAATCGCCCAGGCCTGAGTCGAACGAGCAACTCCTGTAGAATGGCTCAACATTCGCAATGTCACATGCACGGAGACCATCCGCTACCAGGTCATCCCCAACCTATCTGCGAACTCGGTTAGGATACGATTGTTCTGGGGGAAATTTCTCACCGCGCGAAGAAAAAGATAAGGAGAGATCTTCTGCATGGCCCAGGCTCGAATCGAACGAGCGACTCCTGCAGAACGCATTGCATTTTAGATATCGGGAGCAGGCGCGGAAACCATTCGCCACTGGGCCTTTCTACCAAACCTGCGAATCCTGTGTGAATAGCACTTTCTCGGGGACGAATTTCTCACCGCGCGAAGAAAAAGATAAGAAGTTACAAAAGTTCTCCTCATGGCCCAGGCTCGATTCGAACGAGCACTCCGGCATTAATTCTTGTTCACCTCGGAGATGTAGAGAGCAGTGGCCGACTACCTAGTATGTCCGGGAAGGCAGTCGCAGATAATAAAGTATGCAGATGCGGAACCATCCGCCACTGGGCCTTTCTACGAACCTTGTTAGGATAGCATTTTCTCGGGGACGAATTTCTCACCGCGCGAAGAAAAAGATAAGAAGTTACAAAAGTTCTTCTCATGGCCCAGGCTCGAGTCGAACGAGCGCCTCCTGCATGATGTCAACTTCCTACTATACACCAGCATGGGATGCAGGCGCGGAAACCATCCGCTACCGGGCCTCTCTTGTCCTCCCTGCAGGCTTGATTAATTTGCTACAGTTTTAGCTTGGGCAAATTTTTGCACCATGAAACAAAAACAACATCACACCTTTAACCGATGGCCCAGGCTCGAATCGAACGAGCACATCCTGCATAATCTTCAATCGTTTCCGCATCATTCGATGCAGGTGCGGACCCTCCGCCACTGGGCCTTCCCCTCCTTCTGCGAAGCTCGCCAAGACAGCATTCAAGTTATAATTAAATTTCTCATCGTGAAAGGGAAAAAATCGGGGGGCAGACGCCATGGCCTCGGCTCGATTTGAACGAGCAACTCCTGCAGAATGGCTCGACATTAGGCAATGTGGCACAGGCGCGGAACCATCCGCCACTGGGCCTTTCTACCAAACCTGCGAACCTTGTTAGGATAGCATTTTCTCGGGAACGATTTTCTCACCGCGCGAAGTAAAAGAAACGAGCAATTCGAACTCCTTCTCATGGCCCAGGCCCGATTCGAACGAGCGCCTCCTGCATGATGGCAACTTCTTAATCCACACCGTCATAGGATGCAGGCGCGGAAACCATCCGCTACCGGGCCTCTCTGGGCCCCCCTACAAACTTGATTAATTTGCTACAGCTTTAGCCCGGGCAACCTCCCCGCACCACGAAACAAAAACAACACCACACCCCCAACCGACGGCCCAGGCTCGATAGCATTTGTGAAGGAAACATTTCTCACTGCGCGAAGTAAAAAAACGAGCAATTCGAATTCCTTCTCATGGCCCAGGCTCGAGTCGAACGAGCGCCTCCCGCATGATGTCAACTTGCTTCTGTACGCTATCATAGGATGCAGGCGCGGAAACCATCCGCTACCGGGCCTCTCCTGTCCTCCCAGCAAACTCGATTACGATACTCCATTTTCTTCCCCGGCAAATCTCTCACCGTGAAGGTCCGAAAAAAGATCAGCAAATATGGCCCAGGCTCGATTCGAACGAGCGACTCCTGCAGATGCAATGAAGGTCCACACTGGGAGCAGGTGCGGATACCACCCGCTACTGAGCCTTCCCAAGGCCTCAGTGAAGGTGTGATTCAGATAGTGAATTTCACACAGCGAAGAGAGAAAAAATCGGTGGAAGACACCCATGGCCCAGGCTCGAGTCGAACGAGCGATCTCCTGCAGAACAGGTTGTTGCGCGCGACAGTGTCTACTGTATGCAGGCGCGGACCATCCGCTACTGGGCTTTTATATCTGACCTGTGAACCCGGTAAGGTGCGACACATTTCCGAGCCTATTGAATCTGGGAGCGAGGACGAAGCCGATTATGACGTCATCGAGCGCAGCGCGGGTATTGCTTAACGCTCTCAATTAAATTCGAGCGCCGTCGCTAAGCGCGGAGCGGGTATCCATGTCATGAATGGCCGTCTCGGTGAACACTGGAGCCCGAGCAGCAACACCCGACGACGAACCCACAGCGCCGGCACTCCCCCATCGCCGAGTCGAGTCGAGGCGTCACGGTCGCGATGGCGTCGCGATGTCCGAGAAAGTTCGATAGAACCCACGTTCTAACTACGCCTAATCCGGAAGAAACGTTCGGATTCACCTCGGAAAGGCTGAAGGCGTCAAGGCGGAAAGTGGGTACACGTCGAACACTCTTAACCATTCGATTCGGTTCGATAACGATATAACAGACTACAAGGTTTATTTTTTCTTTGCTTCCTTCTTCCCCTCACTTCCTCCCGTATCCGCATACGCCGCACATACTCCCCTGCCTGCACCCCACATATGTGGAAGCGCACGTCTACTCGACGATGCCGGACGCGACGATGGTGACGGGCTTGGAGGGCGAGCCGCTGTCGGAGCCGATGGCCTCGACCTTCTTGACGGTCTCCTGGCCCGAGACGACTTCGCCTGCGGGGGGGTTAGGATGCACGGCGGGTAGGGGGTGGGGTGGGGTGGGGTGTGCGAGAGAGAGGGGAGGGGCGACGAGGGGACGGGATGTGAATGGGTGAAATCAGAACGGAGGGAGGGGCAAGACGGGTAGGAAGATGGGATCGGAGGGTGGATACAGGCGAATGGCGCAACAACGGACGGAGCACGGAGTGGATACGCATGCGAAATGGGGATGTGCAATGGCAGCACCAACGCAATGAAATGGGGTAGCGAAAGTGGCGCGATCGATGCGATCGATGGTGCCGGATAATCAAATCACAGAGGGGGACAGACGCACCGAAGACGACGTGCTTGCCGTCGAGCCACGAGGTGACGACGGTGGTGATGAAGAACTGCGAGCCGTTCGTGTTGGGGCCGGCGTTCGCCATCGAGAGCAGGTACGGCTTCGTGTGCTTGTACTTGAAGTTCTCGTCTGCGCGCCGCCGTCCCGTCAGTTCCTGTATTGATCTCATAAAGAGAGCGAGCAAGCGCGCACGCACCGGGGAACTTCTCGCCGTAGATGGAGCGCCCGCCGGTGCCGTTGTGGCGCGTGAAGTCGCCGCCCTGGAGCATGAAGTTGGGGATGATGCGGTGGAACTTGGAGCCGGCGTAGGTGTCCTTCGTCTGGTTCCCGTTCTTGTCGAGGCCCTGGCAGAGCTTGCGGAAGTTGTCCGTCGTCTTCGGGACGTCGGCGTCGTACAGCTTGAACTCGACGCGCTCGATGGGCTGGCCCTGGATCTGGATGTCGAACTGCGCGCGATGAGCACGAGCGCGGGCGCGGTGGGGGGGCGCGATGGGGACGTACGTAGCAGTTGGGGGCCATGGTGGTGGTGGTGGTGGTTCGAGGGAGAGAGAGGATCGATGGCGGTGAGATCGATGGATCGTCGTTAAAAGGCCGGCAAACCCCGCAGATCGGATGTGACACGTCGGATATCGGATGTGCGCACGGGCCAGCGGTGACGGCCTGTGACACCCTCTTACGGCCGTGACACGCTTCCTCTTACAATAACCGCGCGCCCATCTGTCAACGCTCAGCTAATTACCTGCTACGCCGGTGATCCACACAGCTTTGCGGCGCCAATCTTCTATCTAATCCATCCATCTGGCTTGCATCTGGCACGATGAGCAGTGGAATGTTCCCGAATACACGAAAGCAAAAATTAACGCAATTCTAGAAGAAAGGCTGTATGCGCCGTTACTCAACAGTCGAGTAAGTTACGGGAGTCTGGACCATCACTGTTCGCATCGATCTGTTCATTCCGCGGCACGATTTCGGGAGTCTGAAAGGAAATACTCTTTTATCGTCGGCAGTAAGTAGTGTCATTTATTGGGCAGTGTGCTATGCATTCGATCGAGGGTACATAACTTATGGCATTGCAGGGTTGGTATGCCGCACTGCATCTGATGATCCCTGATGACTGGCATTATGCAGGAATGCTCGTTCGAATCGAGCCTGGGCCATGGAGGTGAGGTATGTGCTTTTTTCTTTGATTCGCGGTGAGAAATTTGCCTCAGAAATGCTCTCCTAATAATGTTCATAGGTCAAGTAGGAAGGCCCAGTGGCGGAGGGTCCGCGCCTGCTCTCTATACCTCAGGAAACTAGCTAATGCGGGAGTCGCTCGTTCGAATCGAGCCTGGGCCATAACTCAGAGCCATCATTTTTTCCTTCCACTGTGAGAAAATTCCCTCAGAAAAAAATGCTATCCTAACTAGGTTCGCAGGTATGAGAGAAAGGCCCAGTGGCGGATGCTCCGCGCCTGCTCTCTATACTTCAGGAAACAACAGCTAATGCGGGAGTCACTCGTTCGAATCGAGCCTGGGCCATTGCGCTGGAGCCGTCTTTTTTCTCTTCCCTCCGGCGGCGAAATGCCCACATAAATGCTATCCTAACGAGGTGCACAGGCTGGAGAGGAAAGCCCAGTGGCGGATGGTTTCCGCGCCTGCTTCCAATATGTAACACGGCTCGTTCTCTGCAGGAGCGCTCGTTCGAATCGAGCCTGGGCCATTGCACGGGGTGATACCTTTTTTTCCTTTCATAAATCGCCACATAAATGCTCTCCTAATAATGTTCACAGGTCAAGTAGAAAGGCCCAGTAGCGGAAGGTCCGCACCTGCACTACATGCTGTCGTTTGGTGAGACATTCTGCAGGAACTGCTCGTTCGAATCGAGCCTGGGCCATAGGTGTGTGGTATATACTTTTTTCTTTCATTCGCGGTGAGAAATTTACCCCAGAAAGAAATGCTATCCTAACGAGGTTCGCAGGTATGAGAGAAAGGCCCAGTGGCGGATGGTTTCCGTGCCTGCTTCCAATACGTTACACGTCCCGTGTTCTGCAGGAGCGCTCGTTCGACTCGAGCCTGGGCCATAGGTGTGTGGTATATACTTTTTCTTTCATTCGTGGTGAGAGATTTACCCCAGAAGAAAATGCTATCCTAACGAGGTTCGCAGGTAGGAGAGCAAGGCCCAGTGGTGGATGGTCCGCGCCTGCATCCTATCCATATGCAAGATTTGTGCTGGCATTATGCAGGACTTGCTCGTTCGAATCGAGCCTGGGCCATTCATTGTCCAATGCTTTGGTTTTTTTTTTTTCCTTTCACAAATCACCACATAAATGTTCTCCTAATAATGTTCACAAGTCAGGTAGAAAGGCCCAGTGGCGGATGGTGCGCGCCTGCATCTAATGATTCCTTGCGACGGAATTCTGTAGGAATTTGCTCGTTCGAATCGAGTCTGGGCCATAACTCAGAGCCATCATTTTTTTCCTTCCGCTGTGAGAAATTTGCTCAGAAATGCTATCCTAACAAGGTTCAAACGTTGCGTAGGAAGGCCCAGTAGCGGAAGGTCCGCACCTGCACTACATGCTGTCGTTTGGTGAGACATTCTGCAGGAACTGCTCGTTCGAATCGAGCCTGGGCCATTGCACGGGGTAGATCTTTTTGTTTCATGGTGCAGAAATTCCCAAAGAAACGGGATCCTAACGAGGTTCGCAGGTAGGAGAGAAAGGCCCAGTAGCGGATGGTTCCGCGCCTGCTCTCTATATCTCGGGGAACAACAGCTAATGCGGGAGTCGCTCGTTCGACTCGAGCCTGGGCCATAAGTATTCGTTACAATTCTTTTTCCTTGTGCGCCGGCGGAATCCCACACAAATGCGATCCTAAGAAGGTTCAGAAGTTGGATAGGAAGGTCCAGCAGCAGATGTCCGCACCTGCACTACATGCTGCAGCTTGAAACATTCTGCAGGAACAGCTCGTTCAAATCGAGCCTGGGCCATTGTCCGGTGCCTTTGTTTTTTTTCCTTTCAGAAATCGCCACATAAACGCTCTCCTAATAACGTTCACAGGTCAAGTAGAAAGGCCCAGTGGCGGATGGTCTCCACCTGCTCTCAGTAGCAGGATTCTGGCCGCTGTAGGAACTGCTCGTTCGACTCGAGCCTGGGCCATAGGTGTGTGGTATACTATTTTCGACCAGGAAACCAGCCACACGAGGAAACCGGCCACTTGACTCTCATTGAGTCGGGAACTTCTGTTCTTTCTAAGTTTGGGGTTTGGGGAAGGAGTGGGACCTCTAAGACTGGTGTACACCTAATTTCAACCAAAAGTGATGGTCGGATCAAAAGTTATGACACGTGCAGTGGCGGCCGAAGCGCTCCGATCACTGTTCTCTTGTTTTGCCACAACCGCCCTCGCTCTATCTCTACCAATTCTCCGTCTTTCGGGGACTTCTTGGGCTCATTCTACTCGCGCAACTCAGGGCATCAATCTAAGAATGCATTCTGCCTCCATTCGTGCCACGTACTCTCTATATGAGCCGACCTGATCTTCACTTCATTCCAGACTGGCTCAGGCTGGTTATGGCTATAGCAGCAGCCGATCCATGCTACGGGTCTGGATTTTTCGGAGAGCCTTTTAGAGTTGGAACCATTCACTCTGGTGTGTGTCCGCACTTCCTGTACTGTGACATCGCTTCTCATCGCTGCCCTTTTCCCCGACCCGTTAAAATTTGGTGTCCGAGATGTTTGGATTTTTCTGGGGAGCTGGTGCCATCTTGGCAGGGAGGTGAGGGGCCTAGTATGTCGGCATACTTCATATAACACTATATGATACTTGTTTTGGCCCGCCGCCGCGGGTGGTCCTGACGAGTCGCCAGTGTAGCCGGAATCTGCAATTCCGCAGGTTAGCGCTGCCGTCACACCCGCCAAATTTGCCCAGTCCCATCCTTTGCACGGACACCCCGAGCATACCAGATAGTACCTAGATCACCCATGTATCATTCCTGAATGAAACATCCCCGAGTTTGCACCCATGGCACTTCATTGGTGGGGTGGCTGGTTTCCTAGTATTTGCACCTGTTGGGGGTGTCGGTCGAAGGAAATTCATTGCTCCATTCACATTGCATCTAAATTCAGGGAAACTACATGCAACTGTTTGTGGGATGCCTACCTTCGTTCTGATACACTTTGGCTTGTATAGAGCGAGTGTGGCTCTCGAGAACCAGCCATAAATGCTAAGGTGGCTGGTTGCCCGGTCGAAAATAGTATACTTTTTTCTTTCATTCGCGGTGAGAAATTTACCGCAGAAAAAACGCTCTCCTAACCGAGTTCCCAGGTATGAGAGAAAGGCCCAGTGGCGGAACGTCTGCACCTGCTCTCTATATATCAGCGAAACAACGGCTAATGCGGGAGTCGCTCGTTCGAATCGAGCCTGGGCCATAGGTTGTTTTCCATATCCCTTTTTCCTTACGCGGTGAGAAATTTACCCCCGAAAAAAATGCTATCTTAACCGAGTTCCCAGGTATGAGAGAAAGGCCCAGTGGCGGATGGTCCGCGCCTGCATCCTATCCACATGCAAGATGTGTGCTGGCATTATGCAGGAACAGCTCGTTCGAATCGAGCCTGGGCCATAGGTGTCCACGTCCCTTTTTCTTCTCGTAGTAGGGAGATCCCTTCTTCAAGAAATGCTATTGTAGCCAGGTCCCCAGAAAACTTCCTCAGAAATGCTATCCTAATCAAGGTCATGAGCTTAGGTAGACAGGCCTAGTGGCGGAAGGTCCGCACCTGCACTACATGCTGCAGTTCGCATATTCTGCAGGAACAGCTCGTTCGAAGCGAGCCTGGGCCATTCATTCAATGCTTTGGTTTTTTTATTTTCCTTTCATAAATCGCCACATAAACGCTCTCCTAATAATGTTCACAGGTCAAGTAGAAAGGCCCAGTGGCGGAAGGTCCGCACCTGCACTACATGCTGCAGTTTGGTGAAACTTTCTGCAGGAACAGCTCGTTCGAATCGAGCCTGGGCCATTGCACGGGGTAGATCTTTTTGTTTCATGGTGCAGAAATTCCCAAAGAAACGGGATCCTAACGAGGTTCGCAGGTAGGATGTAAAGGCCCAGTAGCGGAAGGTCCGCGCCTGCCCTGTATATATCAGCGACACAACAGCTAATGCGGGAGTCGCTCGTTCGAATCAAGCCTGGGCCATAACTCAGAGCCATCGTTTTTTTCCTTCCGCTGTGAGAAATTTACCTCAGAAAAAATGCTCTCCTAACCGAGTTCCCAGGTATGAGAGAAAGGCCCAGTGGCGGATGGCTTCCGCACCTGCTCTCGATGATGGCAGAATTTAGCATGATGCAGGATTTGCTCGTTCGATTCGAGCCCGGGCCATGTGATGTTGGTGGATCTTTTGTTTCAGGTGCAGAAATTCCCTAAGAAACGGGATCCTAACGAAGTTCGCAGGGTTCCAGAGGAAGGCGTAGTAGCGGATGGTTCGGCGCCTGCATCCACGTAGTGGTACAGCCTCGACGTAATTCTGCAGGAATCGCTCGTTCGAGTCGAGCCTGGGCCATAAATAAGCGGGATCTAGATATTATTCCTTTTAGTTCCGCGGTGAGAAATTTGCCTCAGAAATGCGATCCTCGTGACGCTCACGGGTGAGCAACGAAGGCCCAATAGCGGATGGTTCCGCGCCTGCTCTCGATATACGCGGTCTAAGTTGACGCGGGAGTTGCTCAGGGCCATAATTTGGTACTGTCGGTATCCTCCGCAGTGAGAAATTCACAATTTGAATGGTATTCTAACGAGATCCACAAGTTGAGTAGGAAGGCCCAGTGGCGGATGGCTCCGCACATACTCTCTCTACATCTCGGGGATCAACAAGTAATGCGGGAGTTGCTCGTTCGAATCGAGCCTGGGCACTGGCCATTGCATCAGGATCATAACCTTTTTAATTCTTCGGGCTGCAGAAAATGGAATTTACATGAAACCCGCAGATCAGGTAGGAAAGCCCGGTAGCGGATGGTTTCCGCGCCTGCATCTAATGATGGCGTCGACGGAATTCAGCCAGGCATGCTTGTTCGAATCGAGCCTGGGCCATTCGGGAGTCACGGACTTTTTCTTCTTTGGTGTTACAGGCGGAATGAAATCCTAACCAAATGCGCAGGTATCGGCGCAAGGGCCTGTAGCGGATGGTTTCCACCCTGCATTAATTAATTTCATCACCCGGCTTTCCGCTGGAGCGCTCGTTCGAATCGAGCCTCGGCCATGTACTGGTGGGCAGTATGACTTTTTTCCTCAACGGTAAGGACATTCCCTCAAAAATGCAATCCTAAGTTCCTAACCATATTCACATGCTGATTAGAAAGGCCCAGTGGAGGATACTCCGCGCCTGCATCTAATACCTCGTCCACCGGGCTTGTGCAGGACTCGCTCGTTCGAATCGAGCCTGGGCCATGGGTCGGTAGGTGTGCATGTCTTTTTTCCTTGCGCGGTGAGAAATCGCTCCAACGATGTGATCCTAACCATGTGCACTGTACAGTACACAGGCTGGCTAGAAAGGCCCTGATGGTTCCGCGCCTACTATCTGTATCTCGGAGAACGACGATTAATGTGGGAGTTGCTCGTTCGAATCGAGCCTGGACCATGCCAACGAGCCCAACTTATCTTTTTCTTCGCGCGGCAAGATATTTGCCGCAGAAAAAATGCTATCCTAACCGAGCTCGCAGTTGTGAGAGAAAGGCCCAGTAGCGGAGGGTCCGCGTCTGCTCTCAGTATTTGGCTAGGCAAGGTGATGCATCTGCAGGACTCGCTCGTTCGACTCGGGCCTGGGCCATTCCAGAGTGAAGTCCTTGCTTTTGCTCCGCGATATGATTTTTGAAGCTCAAGTTTATTCATTTTGGATCCGCATCCACTGGCATATTACCAAGCGGGACTCCCACGCATTGTCCAAAATTTCGCAGGAAATAAATGTGTGTTAGGCTGAGAGAATAAACCCGACATCGAGTGATCCGCCGGTCGCAGACAATCCAGTTCAGCGCGCTGACAAGGCGAATACAATCCTTTCTCTGGCTCTGTCGTACTGGGGACGAACGGCGCGCAGATTGTAATTAAAATTGAATCTCCCGCCAGGAAAAAATTCAATAGGTCCTGCATAGCGGCCCGGGCTCGATTCGAACGAGCGACTCCTGCCAGATACCCAACAGCAAATCGACTTATGAACTGCAGGTGCGGACCACCCGCCACCAGGCCTTCTTCGTGTTCCCGCGAGGCTGGTTAGAGGACAATCAGGGGAGCAAGAAATTCCGTGGGATCCCAGAGGGATACCAGCAAACGAGGTTGATACAAACGAGGATCCGGAGACTCGGACTCGTTGATCAGCGAAATCAGAGGCGAGAAGTTAGACGTCGTTGGCTTGAGAACGCCGCGCAGGTGCCGAGGACGAATGGCGTCAGAGTCTCGGAATGAGTTGAATTAAATATTGCAAACGTTGATTTATGGCCCACCTTCTTCAGTGTTCATCGTAGACGTGCAGTCGAACCCTCAAAGGACGTCGGCGGCGCCGCTCAGCACGCCAGCGGGAAAATGAAAGAAGCACGAGCGAAGGTGTACGCACCCCTCCATCAGTCGCCGCGGGGGCACGAAGATGAGCCTCGAGTGCGCCGGGATTGGATCGCCCACTCGCGTCGTGGCCTGTGCGAGGCTTCGCGGCTGGAAGGGCGGTCAGGAACAACGGGAGAAACTTGAAGGCGGTGGACGAAAAGGAACCAGGGATGGCCGGACGACTCGAGGGATATGCGCCCTGCGAGCATCGCGGCTACGAAACCTACGGTGCGGCCGGTGCGGAGCCGTGCGGGTGGCGGCGGCGGCGGCGAGGGCGCCTATACGCGGGGGGAAGGGATGAGGTCGACAGTGACATATGTAGAGCGATAACCCAGCCCACGACGGGCTCGTGCGCCGCATGCTACGCCGTGGTCGGACCGGTCAGCTAACGGCTCCAGGGACGGGCGTCACTGGCAACTGCATGCGCTCGCGCACAGGAAAGATAGACGCGTGGAGAGGGGGCGCAGGAGCTTCCGGCGAGTCCAACAAACTGTATCCGGCTTTTGCGACAGAGGAAGCTTGAATGGACGGAGCTCATCCCCAATGGAGCAGACTCGGAACAAGCTCAGTGGCAGTGCCGGTAGTTTGATCCGAGTTCAGTCCACCCATCTGTCAATGTCAATGCTCAGCTAATTCCCTGCTGCGCCGGTGATCCATACAGTTTTGCGGCGCCAATCTCATATCTAATCCATCCATCTGGCACGATGAGGAGCGGAATGTTCCCGAATACACGAAAGCAAGAATTAACACAATTCTGGAAGAAAGGCTGTATACGCCGTTACTCAATGGTACACCGTCTTTTAATTCCACGGTGGGATTCTGAATCCTCGTGTTCCTGTTTGTGACCTCAGAAGCAAAGGCTCGGTGGCGGATGGTTTCCGCGCCTGCATTGAATACGGCGGCTGTCATCCTAAATCGCTCGTTCGAATCGAGCCCGGGCCATGGACAAGCAATTCGAATGGTTTTTTACTTCGCACGGTGAGAAAGTTGCCCCGGAAAAAATGCTCTCCTAACCGGCGAGTTCGCACGTACTTAGTGAGGAAAGGCCCGGTAGCGGATGGTTCCGTGCCTGCGCTTGTGGAATCGCTCGTTCGAATCGAGCCTGGGCCATATGTTATCCAGGTACAATGTTGTTTTTGTTTCAGAAATTCATCACATTGTAACCAAGTCCATAGGTTGAACGGAAAGGCCCGGTGGCGGATGGTTTCCGCGCCTGCATCTGCATCTAATTAATCTTGAGTCGATGATCATCAGTAGGATATGCTTGTTCGATTCGAGCCCGGGCCATAGGAAAGGAATTCGAATGGTTTTTTACTTTGCACGGTGGGAACTTCACGATTTGAATAGGATCTCAACGAGGTCCACAGGTTGAGGAGGAAGGCCCAGTGGCGGAAGGTCCGCACCTGCACTACATTTGCAGTTTGATACATTCTGCAGGGACGGCTCGTTCGATTCGAGCCTGGGCCTTTAGCAGCGGGCATCGCCATTTTTTTTCTCGCGGTGAGAAATCGTTGTACAGATGCTAGGTTAACCGAGTTCGGAGGCTATAAAGGAAGGCCCAGTAGCAGATGGCTATGCACCGCATGGAATTATTCTGCCGAAAGACCTTCTGCAGGAGCAGCTTGTTCGAATCGAACCTGGGCCATATGCTTTGTGCTAAGGTGACTTTTTTCCTCAACGCTAAGGACATAAATCCTAATTGACTGGTACCACAGCAAGGCCCTGTAGCGGATGGTTCAGCCCCTGCATCAAATCTTTCGTCCACCGGGGTTCTGCAGGACTCGAATCGAGCCTGGGCTACAGGTGTGATGTATGTGCTTTTTTCTTTCATTCGCGGTGAGAGATTTGCCTCAGAAATGCTATCCTAACCAAGTTCGCAGGTATGAGAGAAAGGCCCAGTGGCGGATGGCTTCCGTGCCTGTATCTAATCGTCACCCTCCACCCAATTTCTGCAGGACTCGCTCGTTCGAATCGAGCCTGGGCCATGGTCCAATGCCTTTGTTTTTTTCCTTTCATAAATCGCCACATAAATGCTCTCCTAATAAGGTTCGGAAGTTGGATAGAAAGGCCCAGTAGCGGATGGCCCGCGCCTGCATCATATGCATATGTAAGAGTGCTGGCATTATGCAGGAGTCGCTCGTTCGAATCGAGCCTGGGCCATATATTATCCAGGTACAATGTTGTTTTTGTTTCATGTTGCAGAACTTCATGACATCGTAACCAAGTTCATAGGTTGGATGGAAAAGCCCGGTAGTGGAAGGTTTCCGCGCCTGCATCTAATGATGAATGATGGGGTCAACAGAATCCTGCAGGACTCTGCTCGTTCGAATCGAGCCTGCGCCATAATTTGGTAATGTCCGGATCTTTTTTTCTTCTGCGGTGAGAAATTTGCCTCAGAAATGCTCTCCTAATAAGGTTCGGAAGTTTAGAAAGGCCCTGTAGCGGATGCCTCCGCTTCTGCTTCCAATAAGTTACTCGTCCCGTGTTCTGCAGGAGCGCTCGTTCGACTCGAGCCTGGGCCATATTGGTAGCATATCTTTTTTCCTAACACGGGGCCGAAACTCCTATTGAAGATGCAATCCTAACGAAGTTATTAGGGTGCATAAAAAGGTCCTGTAGCGGATGGTTCCGCGCCTGCATCTAATGGATCCTCTTCGTACCCCGAATTCTGCAGGAAATTGCTCGTTCGAATCGAGCCTGGGCCATTCGGGAGTCACGGACTTTTTCTTCTTTGGTGTTACAGGCGGAATGAAATCCTAATCAAATGCGCAGGTATCGGCGCAAGGGCCTGTAGCGGATGGTTTCCAACCTGCATCAAATAATTTCATCACCCGGCTTTCCGCTGGAGCGCTCGTTCGAATCGAGCCTGGGCCATGTGCTGGTGGGCAGTACGGCTTTTTCCTCAACGGTAAGGACATTCCCTCAAAAATGCAATCCTAAGTTCCTAACCATATTCACAAGCTGATTAGAAAGGCCCAGTGGAGGATGCTCCGCGCCTGCATTTAATGTCTCGTCCACCGGGCTTGTGCAGGACTCGCTTGTTCGAATCGAGCCTGGGCCCTGGGTCGGTAGGTGTGCATGTCTTTTTTTTTCCCTTGCGCGGTGAGAAATCGCTCCAACGATGTGATCCTAACCATCTGCACTGTACAGTACACAGACTGACTAGAAAGGCCCTGATGGTTCCGCGCCTGCTCTCTATATCTCGGAGAACGACGATTAATGTGGCAGTTGCTCGCTCGAATCGAGTCTGGACCATCCCAATGAGCCCAACTTGTTATCTTTTTCTTCGCGCGGCAAGATATTTACCGCAGAAAAAATGCTATCCTAACCGAGCTCGCAGTTATGAGAGAAAGGCCCAGTAGCGGAGGGTCCGCGCCTGCTCTCAGTATGGGGATCACCTAGGAGATGCATCTGCAGGACTCGCTCGTTCGACTCGGGCCTGGGCCATTCTAAAGTAAAATCCTTGCTTTTGCTCCGCGATATGATTTTTGAAGCTCAAGTCTATTCATTTTGGATTCGCATCGTGCACTGGCATATTAACAAGCGGGACTCCCACGCATTGTCCAAAATTCCGCAGGGCGGTTAGCTTGAGAGAATAAACCCGACATCGAGGAATCCGCCGGGCGCAGACAATCCAGTCCAGCGCGCAGACATCTTCAAGGCGAATACAATCCTTTCTCTGAACCTGTCTTTCCGGGGACGAACGGCGGGCGGATTATAATTAAAATTGAATCTCCCGCCAGGAAAAAATTCAATAGGTCCTGCGTAGCGGCCCGGGCTCGATTCGAACGAGCGACTCTGCTAAATACCTAACAGAAAGCCTACTTATGAGCTGCAGGTGCGGACCACCCGCCACCAGGCCTTCTTCGTCTTCTTGCAAGATTGGTTAGAGGACAATTAGAGGACCAGAAATTCTGTGGGATTCCAGAAAGATACCAGCAATCGAGGTTGATACAAACGAGGATCCGGAGACTCGGACCCGTTGATCAGCGAAATCAGAGGCGAGAAGCTAGACGTCTTTGGCTTGAGAACGCCGCGGAGTGCGTAGGACGAACGGCGTCAGATTCTCAGGATGAGCTGAATTGAATATTACAAACATTGATTTATAGCCCCTGGTCATCATAGACGGAGCCCTTGAGTCCTCAAAGGGCGTCTGCGCCGCCGCAAGGCGCGCTGCCGACGGACGCCGGTGGGGAAGTGAAAGAAGCACGAGCGAGGGTGACGCACCTCCATCGGTCGCCGGCGTAGATGAATGAAGATGAGCCTCAAATGCGCCGGGGTTGGATCGCCCATGAGCGTCGTGGACTGTGCGAGGTTGGGCGAGGCGCGAAGCGCGGTCAGGAGAAGCGGGAAGAACCAGGGTTGTGCGCACGACTCGAGGAATACGTGTTGAAAACTGTGGATGAAGTGAAAGAATGTAATTCAATGTTGTACTACGACAAAACTCAGAGTATTTATACTCTACAAAATTGTATCTAGAAGATTCTTCCCGAGAGGCTGAATAATGGATGAGTAAGAAATATGGAGCGGAATATTCGAGTAAGTTCGGGCATCTCGGTGCATCAGAGTCGGGCTTAGTAAGCCTCGGTGATGGCTCGGCGTTCGCTCTTCATCGCTAACTTCAACAATACGCGCACTGCGGCTACGGTGCGGGTCGCGGTGTCTCCGGTGGCGGCGGCGGCGGGGTCGGCGATACGCGATGAGGGTGACAACGACGTATACGTCGACGCATGCGCGTCTGAATCTGGGGACGCGTGTGCGCTATGCCTTGCTTCTCGGTGGGTTTGTGGGCGCACGGCCGGGAGAGCGATCACTCACCCCACGACGGCCTCCTACACCACACCTGCTTAGTGCTGCGCTGATGACAACGTTGTCGGTCGGCCAGCGGCTCTAAGGACGCGCTGGCTTACAGAAAAGATGGGCGTCGCGTGCAAGAGGGGACGCAGGAGCTCCCGGTGAGACCAACAAAGTGAGGCATGGGCGCTTTCGAGGGAACTCGGAACAAGCCCAATGGCAGTGGCAGTGCAGGCGGTTTGATCCGAATTCAGGCTGGGGCCTCCTCCGCCCATCTGCCCACGCTCAGGTACTCTCTGCTGCCCCGGTGATCCACGCGTTTCGTCGTCAATCTCCATCGGGCCGGATGAGGGGTGGAATTTTCCCGAATACACGAAATCTAATTCGTGGAAGAAAAGTCTGTCGCTAAAGAATGGCATCTTTAGCAGAAACCGCTCGGTCGAATGGAGCTCCAGTCGAATAGACGGCGAATCAGCTGTTTTTGCTCCTGGAGTTCGTGAAGTATTTTGATTTACATTTCCGCTTGTATCAACCACTCGCGACTTGAATATCTTTGATAGTGGGCAGCCCTCATCTTTCTCTCCCACCCCCAAGGAAACGACACTGCTTTGAGCAGGGTAGGAAGGCCCGGTAGCGGATGGCCTCCGCGTCTGCATCCGATCAAAGGGAACGGCATATCCGCAGGATGCGCTCGTTCGAATCGAGCTCGGGCCGTAGGATGCAATCGATTTTTATTCCGGCGGGTGATATGTTATTTCTCCGTATGAATTCGATTGCGATACATAACTTATGAGGCTTGCAGTGTTGGAATGCAAGGCCCAGTGGCGGATTGTTTCCGCCCTTGCCCCTAATTATTCTGGCATCGAATATGCTGTGGGGGTTTGCTCGGTTCGAATCGAGTTGGGCCATACTTTGGGGGATGTCGTTTTTGTTTCATGGTGCAGAAATTCCTAAGTAAATGATATCGTAACTAAGCTCGTTGGTGGAGTTGAAATGCCCAGTGGCGGACGCCCCCGCACCCGCATGCAATTGCTCTCCAAGAAACCCTTCTGCAGGACTCGCTCGTTCGATCCGAGCCTGGGCCATAGGCTTGTAGGATGATGTTTTTTTTCCCCCATGGTGCAGCAATTCCTAAGCAAATGATATCGTACCCAAGTTCGTTGGTGGAATAGAAGGTCCCAGCTGCGGATGGCTCCACGCCGAAACTGGTGGAAATAATGGAGACGGTTCAACGCGGTATCCAACAGGGGCAATACTCATATGACAACTTCGATCGATCCCGCCCCATTTCCAATTCCGCGGCTCCGGAACCCCTACATAAAGGCTGCTTTCTCATTTCCCCCATCCCTCGCATCGTTCCCCATGCTCAGTTTGTCGGTTGAGCTTGTGCAGGAGATTGGGGCCGAGGTGTGCTTTGCGTTCAACTTTGCGCTTGCACGTTGACTCTCCTCCTAGCTGAGCAGGGTTGACTTAAAGCGTCTCCGTGCGGTATGCAAGGACGTCGGTCTGGCTATCAACCCACTCTTCTTCTCTGCCCTTGTGTTGTGGACGCAGCACTTGCGTCTTGAAACTGGCCTCCATGTCCTCACCTCTCTTGCGTCTGGCAAGAGCGGGTGGTCTCCTTATGCAAAGACGCTGACGATTAAACCTGGCGAGACACCAAAAGCAGGCCCTGGCGCGGATGATCGCTCGGACAGTGCCATGCAAGAACTTTTGGCTGCCGCCTTGGGGTCCCTGACCAAAATTCGCACCGTCATGTAATGTTCCTCCTACTCCCGTGTGAGCGTGAGAGCTATATCTTTAACAGCTGGGAAATGCATGAAGGCGATCTCGCCTGGCAGCAAACTGCAATATGCCAATCCTTCGCCAATTTTCCTCTTCTCGACCACTTCGCTCTCCATGCAGAGAACGCTGGCGTCGTATTCGATGACCTGCAGTTCCCGTCGCTCTCTGGCCTTCGCGCGCTGGAAATCACGAGCCCGTACGCATTGTGGGGTGCGCGGATCTCGCTGGTCCACCAGATTGCTCGGGTCGTGGGGGAAAACCGCGATCTCACCTCTCTCTACCTCGGTGGTTCGCGCGCCTGGTCGGACGTCTGGACTGCGCTCCGGGAGTATCCCGACTGGACACCGAACCGTCTCACGCACATCGGCACCGAGTACCTCACCTCTAACCTCCTCGAATACCTCCGCTCGTACTCCGGCATTCGGAAATTGGAGCTCAGATACCCCCCAGAGTGCGACGATAACCTCCTGGCCGCATTCTTCCGTACAGTGCTTCCGCGCCACGCCGCGACGCTCGTGGAGTTGGCTTTCCCCGCTCACTACGAGAGCCCGTGGAGTTTTGGCCCACACACCGTCGACGCGGTGGCCCAACTACACAACCTTTCGCGCCTTGAAATCAGCGTCAACAAGGACGATATTGCGCCGCCAATTAATGTCGTGGTGCGTCGTCTGAATTCCACATTCACATTTTGTTTTGTAAACATAAACTCGCCGCGAGGATCTTCTCCTTCGGACTGCCGCAGCGCTTCCGATTCACCGCCTCAAAATAGGTGCTGCAAGAGAGAGCACCAGGACCAGGTCCTTGAAGCGCGCGACCACTGTTGAGACGGTCATAACGGAGGCGGTGCGGAACTTCCGTTCAATATTTGCATCGCCTCCCGTCGTCTGCGTGGGGTCCAGGTTTTTCGAACGGCAGCCTGTGGATGAGCCAGAGTCCGGCGCAGAGAGTGCGATGCTGTGGGCATATCAGGAGATACCGAACCCAGACATCGCGCCGCAGATGTGAGATGATTAACTCCTTGTTCTAAATCTGTACTGGCTGGGTGAAATCATCTTCGTGTTTTGCGGGAGGAATGTCGTTGATCGATAGCAAAGTTTTATAATGCTGGAACACGCAGACCACCTCCGCCGGGCCACCTTGCTTCCGTGCAGACTTTGGGAGATCCGATTCTTCGTGCTTCGCTCGCGTCAAAAAGCCATAAAAGCATTCATCAAATGACCCAGGCTCGAGTTGAACGAGCAATCCTGGGAGATCTTGTCTACTATGCAAAGGGGTGCAGATACGGTTCATCCGCTGCCAGGAATTATTCCATAGCCTATCCGCCTCTCCAAATTCGTTAGCTCCAGAATAAAATTGACCATAACCTTGCGTGGTCCAGGCTAGAATTGAACGAGCGGTTCCTGCAGCATAGACTGAAAGCGCACATTGAGTGCAGGCGCATACCAACCGCTACTGGGTCTTGATATGCTTCCCGGGGCCTGGGATTAACTGACATGATTCTGCTGCATGGGGAGGAAGGAGAAAGGTAGTATTGGACCATCGTCTCATGACATCCCGGTGCGGGACTCCTCTACATGCGAGACCGGGAAAAAAGTTTATAAATATAAAATTCATCTTGCATGCAGTAATATAAGCGTGTTCATTGTTATATGATACGGACCCTCCTAAGCCTTTCATCCATGTCCAGCGAACCTTGTTTCCTCCGTCGTTCCACAAACCTGACGCCGAAAAAGACTACACCAGACCCGTCCAAGGAGTCGAACGAGCGAACCCGCAGAAGCTTCAACACTCGGATTGGGTATCAGAAGCAGGTGCGGACCCTCTGCTACCAGGCCGCAGTGCACTACCTTTGAGCCCAGCTACCTCAGCATCATTCGTCTGGATGCGCGCCAGGCAAGCAGAGAATTACCGGCTGTTGCCTAAACACGATTCCCACGTGGTCGTGAAACACGAGTCCCACGTGATCGCGATTCGAGCTCCGCTCATTGTGCCGACGGTGCCGTCGTCTTTCTAAATTTTCTCCAGCATGCCCGGGCCAGCCGTCCGCATCGTTCCTGATGCCGGCCATCTGGCGTGCGAGCCTGCGCAGTTTGCGCCGTGCGGTGGGGAGCAGAAGAGCCGGAAGGCGATGTATTCGGAAAGGGGCAGGGGGCGCGGGCGGGGGCAGATCCGGGCGAGCTCGCGGGGCTCTTTGGCGGCGCCGCGGGCTTGTTTGCGCCCGATGCGAATGTGCCGGTGAATGTGGGCGCGGGGATGCCTGCGTAGGGGGATAGGCAGGGACGGCAAGGCCGGGCGTGGGGCGCGGAGGCGCGGTGTGGACGTGCAGATCGACGGGATGGATGAGGGCGACTGGCGACGACGACGACGACGACGAATGGCGGCGCCGAGCCCCATCCCACACCGCATCCCCAGCCTTTTCCCATCCCCCTTCTCCTCTAGCTAGCTGCGATCTCATTCTTCCACGCCTTACTCTCATTCGTTCTCGCCCGAAGGAACAGCGATACCCCCACAGATTGAACACCATCCACGTCGACCCCCATCCCAAAAGTTCACGGACCGCGCGCTCGCGCTTAGAATGGGGTGGTCCCGCGGCTCCATGGGTGCACCTGCTTCGTACGTCCCTGCCCCTTTCACGCGTGCACAGTTGTGCCGCTGATGCACTTTCATCTTTGCCGCCGCCAGTGGTGCAATGCTAATGATTCGCAAATGATTCGTCCAATTATGCAATGCTAATTTAACCAGGACAACCGGATAGAATGTCAGGCCCGGTGGCGGATGGTCCGCGCCTGCTTTCTAATATCAGATCGCAGTAAGATTCTGCGGGATTGGCTCATTCGACTCGGGCCCGGGCCGTGCCGGCAGAGGCAGTCGAGCCTTGTTGCACACGAGCGAGCAAAACGATGCTAATTTAACCAAGTGCATACAGTAGTGCGGGTCATAATGCATAAGGTCGGTGGACACCCGAACCCTATGCATTATGAGGTTTATGCAGCCACGGATATTGTCACACCTTATGACATGGTGTGATCTGTGTGACATTCCACCATAAATGAACCAGAAAGCAACCAGAAAGTCATTTGATGGCAGACTTTGGTCCCACACCTGGTGGCAGCAGTTGATCAACAAGGTTCCTGGACTTTTAAGTTGAGGTTTAGGCTTTAAAAGGTGCAAACCTGACCAAAAATACAACTTCAACCCGAATATTTTGATTCTCATAGTGCATACACCTGCCAAAATTTCCTCAGGAACCCTATGCATTATGCATTATGCATTTTTTGCATAAATCCCTGCCTCCCAAGTCGGTGGACAGCCCAATCCGATGCATTATGAGCTTTATGCATTATGGCCTTATGCATTATGACCCGCGCTACTGTATACCAAGAATGGAAGGCCTCGTACATCTGGAAACATGTTTCTGGCTGATAGAGCACGCCTCCCCTCGGTAGAGTAGCAGTGTCTCGGTAGAGCTATGTAGTGCCAAGACTTCTTGGTAGAGCCGCGTAGAGGCACGGCATCTACCGACGTCTACTGTAGAGCCGAGGATCTATCGTCGATTCTCGCTGCCACAGCCCTCTGGGTAGAGCTCTGATATTCACATGGGCATCCAAGTTCAAGCGAGCCATCGGACTTGGTGAAAAACACTTAAAGTCCGAGCCCGCAGCCATCCGCTCCGTCTTCTCCCCCATCAACTCCCCCCATCTTCTCTCCGCACCCGCTGACTTCACATACTGTGCTTGACGACCCCAAGTGCCAGCGGGCAGTCTCAAGCATACTTCAATGCTCAAGCCGTTCATACTCAAGCCGCCTCATCCAACTACTTCAAATTTTGGGTCCGCAACTCCTCAAATTCCGCTGATGACTTCGCCATTTTTCACACTTTCAACGCTTCTCGGGCTAGGCACGGCGGCTACTTCAAGATTATGGGATCG